TTTTCAAATCTTAGATTTAAAAAGAAAAATTTTTACGAATTCTTAACTCAAAATAATTTGTAATTTTCGTGATTTTTCCATATTTTGTCAATTTTTGAACTTTAAATGCTTATAAAAAAAAATTGTGTCTAAGGATTTTTAATATTTTTCATCTGCCTTTGAAAAAACATATTAGGAGCCTTCTATTAATTTTTCAAGCTTTCGCAACCAACAAATAAAATTTTATTGATATTTTTAGAAAAAAAACTAAAAAAAAATGGAAAATGAAAATGTCCCTAATAACAGTTCAAAATAAATCAAAATATTTTGAAAATGTTATCGTGTATAGAAAATGCAATTATAAACAACCAGTGAAAATTTCATGTATATACGTTCATTTGTTTTAGAGTTACACCAATAACCAAAATCGATTTTTTGGAAAACCAATTTTGCGTAAAAATTCCCGTTTTTCCTTAATTTTTATGTTGTTTTTCCCGGAGCTTGTGAAAACTACTGGGAAATTTATACTTTTGACCCACCAAAGTACCAACTAGATTCACTTTCCTATCAGAAAAGCTACTGATGAAGAAAATCCAAGCACTTTTACTGTCCTAAAACGTGATGACATACACAAAAAAAAAAAAAAATATAAAAATATAAAAACATACATCATTGTAAAACCAATACATTCATCGCTCCTCTCAGAATCTAAAATGTACAAATGTTACTGGAAAAAATTGCTTTTAAGAAAAAATTTAGCTGAATAAAAAATTGTAAATTTGTAACTAATGAGATTTCTGTGCCTGCAGTTTATTAGTTAAATTTTCGATGTAATACTACGGTGTAATACTGTAATACTAATTGCTACAAACGCAAGGTAACTTTGACTGAGTAGTGCAACCATCATTATCTTCGACTCCGATTAGATAATATCTAATAATAACAATTTTATAGATTAATAAAATGGCTGTAGAATAAACATCAACTATTAACGATTAGATTAGATTTTATTTTAACCTATTTATAAAGAAAAATATAGAATAATATTGAAAATTTTAAGAACAATTTTATTGAACAAAAATAAAACACAAAAATTAACAACCTTTGAGCGGGCCATCAAAAATTACTTGGCGGGCCGCGGGTTGCCGACCTCTGATTTACTCTAATAACCCTTCTCTTTAGTCTTTACGACAATCCCTTTCTTTGAATTCGCCATCTTGACACTTTTATAAACATTTCGTATCCCTTTTCACATGTATTTGTCATTTTAATAATGCTTTTGGAGTTTGGACTGAAGAAATAGAATTCCGGCAAATCCTTATTATAACTAATTTTAACGAAAATATACGAAACGATAAATACGAACAATAAATGACTAACAAATACGTACTGTGATGTTTAATCGGTATATCGGTTTATTACATTATAATATTATTGGTTATTACTTATTACTTATTAGGTACCTTATAGTAATGGTACATATCTTACGTCGGATTATTTTATATTTATATTATGTATTTATTGTTATATGGATGGAGGGGCTATAACAAACCTGTCACCTGAGTGGCGGGTCTTTAAATTTTTCACTCGCCGTGGCGGGGCATAACAATTAACAAACCAGTACCCGTTTTTTTTGATAAGCAAGTAAAGTTTAAAAAAATCAAAATCATGAAAATTCGCAAAAGGACTTATTCACAAGTGGAAACACCAGAATCGCAACATATCTTAAAACCTTCGGAATACTTTTATTACCTCTAAATCGTTAAAAAAACCGTCGTTATCACAAATGTTACTGCCAAAAAGGGGAAAATTACTGTACAACACGCAGCACCCAATAAACACTTACTATCTAAGTAGATTTGAAAATGCTGCTATGAAATGTGAATGTACATTACTTATTAGGTAGGAATACCGTATACCTACCTAATTATAACCCAAAGTGGAGCTGAGTTAAAGAAGAGCAAGGCACAACAAATATTTTTATTTTTTTAGATTCAAAGTATGTTCAGTTCTAAAAAAATTAGATAGTGTTAAACCACTCTGCTGTACAGTCGAGTGTACCTCGTCATTGAGTAAATACTAAATCATCACTGCAATGTATGTGTTAAATATAATTTGATTTCAATGATGATAAATAATATCATCGAAAATATGTAATATGTTGATATAGTTGTAATAACAAGTACTGAAATAGTGCGGGATAATGTGGGATAATTTTAAACGTAATTTATAGTACTTATTGGGTTATAACTTTTAAGTTGACATTTTTGAGCAGTCTACTGTCTGCTATTGGCACGGAATTAGACATCTAAAACTAAAAATATTATGTCAAAGTAAAAACATAAATTGTTTATATACAGGGTGATTGATTTAGCGTAAAACACTCATTATCTCAAAAAGTATTAATGTTTTTGAAAATATTGTTTTAAATAGTTTCAAGTTGTTAAAAAAAGACGTTTTCATTAAAAAATTATATTTTTAAATATTTTTTATCCTTATAATTTTTTAAGTTTTTTACTTTTTTGAATGACAGCATAGTTTTAATTTCATATTCCAAAGTAGAATATTTTTCTTAGTATTTTGATACATAAAAATCGATTTTAGGACGAGTAGTTTATGAGTTATAACTCTATAAGTATTTTAAGTTTAGATGGGCGGTGTAGTGGATAAACATTTTGCGGGGTAACCCCATACCACTCCACTCCGCCCATCTAAACTTAAACTACTTATAACTCATAAACTACTAGTCCTAAGTTCGATTTTTATGTATCAAAATACTTAGAAAAATATTCTGCTTTGGAATATGAAATTAAAACTCTATGCTGCCATTCAAAAAATTAAAAAACTTAAAAAACTATAAGGATAAAAAATATTTAAAAATATGATTTTTTAATGAAAACGTTGTTTTTTAACAACTTGAAACTATTTAAAACAATATTTTCAAAAACATTAATACTTTTTGAGATAATGAGTGTTTTACGCTAAATCAATCACCCTGTATAGCAACACAATCCAGTGTTATATATTATACTAAAAATTATAAATTCCTATGTTGAGTTTGTTACAGATTAATTACCAAGACAGAACCACAGATTCTATGACAGTTGACAGAACATCATTCAAACTTTCAATCCACTTGGCAGCTGGCACTTACGATTTATGGGCCTTAATAGTTATACGGCGGAAATCAGGGGGGATTTGGGGGGCTTAGCACCCCCCTCCAAAGTCCGTCAAGCCCCTCCTTTTTTAGTTTTGTAGTTTTATAGGGTTGAAGCCCGTTCTCACATTTATGTTAATAATGTTAGCCCTCCCCCTAAAATTTTAATGGATTTCCGCCTATGTATTTGCTCATTCAATAATTATCATAAAATATTCAAAATCAAAATTCATGAATCATGATTGTCCTGATGTGTAAATGCATTGAAACTTGAGTAGGTACTTGACAGTATTTTGCATTTTTGTAACACGACAAGACAGAATAAGGATTATCCACAGTCAGTGCAATATTTTTCTACATTTATATTTTTCTATAGGTACCTTCAATAATCATTATTTAAGGGCGCATTACACTCAGACACGTCTACAAAAAAAAAAATTCAGGGGATGTTTATAATCTATGTATATAAATAAATTACACAACTACTAACACCCCCCCCCCTTGTATACGTGCCCAATTAGACTGCAGTATGTGTGGTGTGGTTTGAGTGATTTAGAATTGAAATAAATTCAACTATTGTAGGTAAAGTATAAACTGAAACGTTGCAACTTATTGAGACATTGTGAGTAGGTACTGAATAACATATTTAAGATTGAAATGATGGTAGTCACAAATACTAGAGGGCCTCATGCAAAACTTATCCATGAGCATGATGTACCTACCTTACTAAAAACCTTTTTCCTGTAATTTAGATGGGCATCAGAACAAAATATAGGTGAATAATATCTTATCTATATGAGGGTACAAGCGTTAAGCTAGACATTGTATGGAGTTTACTTTAACTGTATAGGTAGACATGTAGTAAATATAGTATAATATTATACTGTACACATGGGCGGATAGGCCATTTTTGGCCTACTGGGAAATTATTGAAAGGGGCCCCCCGGCCCACATGAAAAAAAAAACAAATTGCTCACTTCGCTCGCAAGTACATTATTAGGTGAATTATATGAGCCACCATATCAAAAGAAAATAATGTACAACAAAACACATTTTTAAAATCATTTATTTATTTTTTAGTTTTAAAATAATAACATTCTACCAAATATACTGGTCTCCTATAGCTCCTAATTTATTAATGATGTCTTCAGAATCAATTTCGTTCAGAATATCTTTTAGATTATTTTCAGAATATTTGTGAGTTATTATCCACCTTAACAGTCCCAACTCATAACCGTGACCACTAACCGCCGCCAACCGGTAATCGACATTGTAATTGGTGGCAGAGAGGCGGCTGCGGGCCGATAGGCGATAAGAAATCTTTTGTAAAATACCACAGAATAGTATTAGATTTATAAATATAAGATTATAATAATATAATATTTCAAATTTATATTGTAATTGTATTAATATTATAATATTATGAGTCATTGCGTTAACCATAAAAAGGGCCCCATTGCCGAAATACAAAGTGGGGGCCCACCAAGAAATGCCAGGTTTCCCTGTAGGCCTATCCGCCCATGACTATACATAATAAGACAACACAATTCAGTGTGAAAGGCCATTAATAATTATGTTTTGTAATAACAAGGTAAAAACAAAGGACTTAGAAAAAACAAATTATAAATTATTGAACTTATTTATTTTATCTTTAGGTTTAATGCTATCAGCTATACTACAATATACTACTTTTTTTAAAAATATTTTCAAATACATATACGGTTTCATGCAATATTTTACATTGTATAATTTTTTATTTTTTAAATATATTATTAAATTTTAACTAGAACATTATAAATTGTTTATAGACTAAATTACATAATATAGTGTATACTGTATATAATTAAAGAAAATTTTTCTTAATTTATTTAGTTTGTATTCTAACTCCAGGACAACCAATTGTACAAATATTAGATTCAAAACCATAAATTTTTAATTCTTGCATACATATTTGTATTTTAGATTTATGAATATTTGGAGGAACAAGACATATAGCATATCCTCCCATTCCAGCACCAGTTAACTTCGCATGGAGGTCAAACTTTTTTAATATTGCCACAATAGCATCTAATGTTTCATGTGATACACCTAATGACATCAGCAAACCTTGATTCATATCCATGAGAGTCTATTTGAAAAAAATGGTTATGTTATACATTTTTAATTTAATTTAAGAATTTAATATTAAAAAGTAATTACTCACTTGCAAAACACTAATTTGTTGAAGTTCTTGTAGTGGGTTTTGAGCCATTTGATCAATTGCATTGACTGCTGAATTTACAATTTGTCCTATAGAATTAAAAATGGCATCGAGAATTGGTTGATAAGTGTCATCATTGTATTTTGTGCGTACACTTTGCACCACATTTCCAGTAGATCTTTCAATACCTTAAAATAAATCATTGATCTTATTAACTACAAATTTAAAAAGGTGGGTAAGTGGATATCGCTCTGATGTACAGTAGAGGAGTAGAGAGTGTAGGTTACAAGTGGGTCACTGTAATGGATGGTGTTAAATTTGAATTCAATGATATAATATCATTGACCAAGAAAAACGATTCTGAGCAAAAACGGATCAGTCAGCCTATGATATTACTAAGTATATTTGATGATATTATTGTGAATAAAATAATTTATACATAACCTATTTACGTGGAACCTTGTTTTAAATTTTCAATCCTTATCTATAAAATTTGAAAATTTTATAAATTTTAAACTATAAAATAATTATTAAATTTTAAATTTGATAAATGTTGTCAAAATTCGAACTTAAAATGTTTATAAAAAAAAATTATGGCTATGTGTTTTTAATATTTTTTTAACTGCTATTGTAACAATATATCAGGAGCCTTGCATTTTGATATTTATAGAAAAAAAAACTAAAAAAATTGTAACCTGACAATTTCCATAAACACCCCAAAAAGAGTCAACATTTTATGGTATGTAGAAAATGAAAATATAAACATTCAGTAAAATGTTCATGTATCTACAGTGATTCATTTTTGAATAACAATAAAATAACTAAACCGCTACATGAGAAATCAAGTGAATATCCAATATTGTAAAAATATGAATTTCAAACGCTCTTAAAAATTTGATTTGCTTGTAGACATTTTTGTTTTGATAAAGGTAGACAAATTTATGAGGAATCTTGTATTATTGTATTACATTTTCAAATCTTAGATTTAAAAAGAAAAATTTTTATGAATCCTCAACTCAAAATAATTTGCTATAATTTTTGTGACTTTTCAGTATTTCGTCAAGATTTGAACTTTAAATGATTAAAAAAAAAAAAAAAACTGTGACTAAGGGTTTTTAATATTTTTGAAATGACATTGTAAGTATATTGTATATAGTAGGAGCCTTGTATTAAATTTTCAAGTTTTTTTACCCAACAAATAAAGTTATCGTTACAACGTTCATAGAAAAAAAAGACTAATAAAATTGGAAACTGAAAATGTTCCTAAACAGTTCAAAATAAATCAAAATATTTTGAAAATTTGATCGTGTATAGAAAATGCAAATATAAACGACGAGTGAAAATTTCATGTATATATGTTTATTTTTTTTAGAGTTACACCAAAAACCAAAATCGATGTAAAAAATTCCCGTCTCTCCTTAATTGTTATTTTGTTTTTCCCCGTTTGAAAACTATTGTGAATTTTAAATTTTGACCTCCCTAATGCACCAACAATAATCACTTTCTCATCGAACAACATACTGAAGTTGAAAATTGAATCATTATTTCGACTACTTATCATGTACACATTACACACACACACACACACACACACACAAAATATAAAAAAAAACACATCATTGTAAACTCAATACATTCATTGTTTCACTCGGAATCTAAAATGTATATATTTTATAGTGAAATTATATTTAGGTAAAAATGTAAGATGTAAGATACTGTTTAGGATGAGTGTGAAGGGGGTTGTAGTAATTGAAGAGTAATTAAATACAATAATACATTCTAAAAATTGTTCAGAGACATTTTTTAATAATTGTTATAATACATTGTACAGTCTACTTTTGGCAACCTGTAATTCAAGAAGAGTGAACACTATTTTTGAGTTAAGCTTGAAAGAGATTATTTATTATTTTACAATTTTTATTTATTAAATTTACTAAAAAATAATAACGCATAGAAAAACAATTAAAAAATAAGCAGCTTACTGCTCAGTCTATTTATTCATAACAATTTTATCTAGGTTATTACTGATTACTTTTTTATTGAAACTATGGCCATTAGCTGTTTTTTTGCTTGTTGAGGGAAGGGAACGGTCGGTTGAAACACGTTCATATGTGTGGCAAGGATTATAGCTAAAAATCCCGGGTGGTCACCCATCCAGGAGCTAACAACACCGTCCGATACGTACACTCAGAACATTTACGCAATTGCCACAATAACATCTAATGACCACGTCACACCAAGACACTATTATTACTTATTAATAATAATTTATTAGTTCAAAAAAAGTTTTTAAAACAAACCTGAATATATCAAAAGAATTTTTAATTCAGGAGCTTCCAATAATTTATGGCTGTTAAGTTTTGTGTACTGAACCATTGTTCCATATGTGCAAATAGTATTATCTAATCCTGAAGCTTTAGTATGTATAAAATTTTCTGCCAACAAAGCCCATCTATTTATCAAACATTTTTCCTGGAAAATAAACATGAGACCTTAATTAATTTTATTTATTATATAAAAACCTTTGAAATATAAATAAGTATTTTTATTAGGTAAAACTGTAAATAATAAAAATAAGAATAATAATTTATTTACAAAAATATATTACCCCGTCACTGAATGATATGTTGTCAGTAAATGCCTCGATAATTAGCAGATTGTCACCACTCTGTGAATGGAAATCGTCCAACAATGGATCAAATTGTATTTCTACATTAGAATTGATTTTAAACTTTACGTAGGCCAAACAAGCTGCTACTAGAGAAACACAATAAGATGCAGAACTGCCAGTTCCAGCTCCCAACTTCAATACAGATGTGATTCCAATAGTGAATGAAACATTTTTCAATTGTTTCATATAGCATGACAAAATTCCTCCAAAAATAAAATGTAAAACAGTAAGTGTTTTTTTTTCATTACCAGATAATGTATCTAATTCATTGAGAAAAGGTTCATTTTTGTTTAATTTGTTTAAGGTTTCTTGAAAATATGTGGTTGGCGAAAATGTAGGTTTTGCATCCAAATGAATTGTCAACATTCCTGAATAATTTATGAGTGGCAAAATAATGCGACATGGTATTGTATTTAAATCTTGGTTATTACAATAACTTTCAGTGAATGTTAAAGTAGTATGTTGATCAATAGCACATGCGATTGCTGGTTTCCCATATACAACACTATGTTCACCAAAAAGGATTATTTTTCCAGGCGCTGTTACTTCAAACTGTATATTAGAACTCATTTTTATAGAATACGAATAATGTTAAAATGTTAAGTGTTGACAAAATGTAATACTAGGTCTTGATCTATAATTTATAAAGCAATTAAACTTTATTTAAATTATTCCATTGTTCTGTTGTCAATGTTTTCTGTGAGAACGCGTGTATTTCTTTTAATTCTTCAGCTAGCACTTCATTTACCATTCTGAAAAAAAACATAAATTAATAAATTATACATTAATGTATACTGGATGCCTAAAGGTTTGGAAACATTTTATGCAATTCATACATAAGAATGTTTCTCTAGTTTCTAGACACATTGTATTATAATTCAACCTAGTAGTACTTAATCAATGTCTGTATTAATAGTAAATTTATAATTATGTAATAATAATAATTACTCATTAGGTAGTGATTTATAAATAATTTATAACTAGATTCTTAATCAACTTTCTTTTTATTATCTTTAACTATTTAACTATATTTAACCTTACTAAAAAAGTAATACAAAATACAATTTAAAGAAAAACTTGATAGTTAGTTCTTAAATTGAATGACTCAATTAATTATTTGAATATTGATAAAAATTGGAAGTTTTAATCAGCAAATATAGTTCAAATAGGCCTCACTCATAAAAAAATTGACCTTTGAGAACTTAAAATACTTTAAAATATGTCAGAATATATGTCCCTTTCTATTTGATATATATTAGTAAAACTGCTCCTCATTTCTTATTTTTGAAAACAAGCAAATAAATGTTAACTAGTGCCTCATGAAATAATAATAGTATTTTTAATATATAAGTTGTGACAATCAATTGATAACTATATCATATTACACATACAATATCCTTAAAAATGTGAATTGAAAAAAACATACACGTCAATGACAATGGAAATTTTTCTGTAGATTGCAAGGTGTATTATATAAATGCACCAGGCAGCATGAATAAAATAGAAAGAGATAACACAAAAAATCTATGTACAAAATAAATAATTATTTTCTAGTAACTACTTAATATGTCAATGTTTAATACTTACAATAATCAATATCAATAGCTATAACAACTATTTTTGTGAAGTACCTTTAACAGATTATATAATATATCCTCGGTTAAAAGACACTTCAGAAAATAATGAATCTAGGTTGTATGACTCAGCGATATGTTATTAAATAAAAATAATAAATTTAATTATTTTTTAAATTAATTTACACTAATAACTGTGACTTTAGAGTTACATATTATACAAATTATGACATTTCTATTAAGAATTTACTTTAATACTCAATAACATCTGTAATATATTTGCTAACAATAGTTCACATAATATTATGCTATTCAATTATAATACTAATTAGTGTACAAATACATTATAAATTATAATTAACTTCCTATGAAATTATTATTTGTACTGATGATTTAAAAATAAATATGATAGGCAATAGTTACTAAGAAACTACTCACCGATGACGTTGTAATAATGTTTTGCCATTAAATTTATCAGATACCACAACTACGCTAAATTTAGCACCACATCCATCGGAATCATCATTGACAGACTAAAATGAAAAATGTTTAAAGTAAATTAATATTTATATACCATTGAAAAATTGTTAGGTATTCAATCAATACCATACTACTATGAATAAAAATGTCAGTAAGTTTATTTTATAAACATTGGGTCATAATAATTACATAAAAACCTGATAAAATAAGAATAATTTATGTAGTTTTGTTTTAATAAAAATTGATAAATATATAATGGATATTGATAAGTAGATAATATAGTTAATTTTATAAACTATTTGTTATTACACATTTTACTTTTCATGACATTTGTTAAACTATTAAAATTTTTAATCAACTATACTGACTGTTAGGATAATAATATTTTATTTATAATACTTAGTATTTATATAATATAAATATTAAAAGTTAAAGAGTATAACATGACATTGACAATAATCTATGTACTAAAGTACTAAACTGTTGATTTCCCGTTTTTCTATTTTAAATTTATGGGAACAAAATAAAGTAAAGTAATTAGTAGGTCATTCTGTATTTACCTACACAGAAAAGTTTCTCTTAATGTAATAGAATTTTAAGAATATTGAATAAGAAATTAAAATTCAGTTAATAAGAAAATTCTGCATTTATATTCTATTCTATTATTTTTTGATCTAGAACTTGTATAAGATTGTATAATCTATACTAAAAAAAAAATATAATAAGCATAATGTATGTTTTTTTTTAAATTAAATTAAGTGTAATGGCTTGAGTGTCTTGAGGGAAGGTTTCATCCAGTGAAGGTGCTTCGGCTATAATATAATATTAAATAAATATTAACTTGAAAAATGCCTAAATAATGCCCTTAAAAATAGACGTATAAAATTATTTTTTTAATGCAATGTTTTATTATGTTCACCTTCCTAATTTAAAATTTTTAAATAACTTACTAAACATTTATAAAAAAAAAAACAACATTTGATTAGAAGTTAAGAGGGATTATAAATTATAATTACGGCCTATACATTTTTCTATTTGGATACATGTTTTTCACTCTGTATAGGCCTAAGGATAAATAGTTAAAAGTAAAAGGACGAATAAAATCTGTTACTGAAGTCAAATGATATACAAATATACAATAAAACTAATAAAATTATTAAAAAATATCCAAATATGCAACAAAATGCAAAATAAAAGTTTCACTGTTGAAGTAATTGTTTCATAAAATAAATTATGGAAAGCATTGTCTAAGACAAGCGTACAAAACCTTTTTCAACTTACGAGCCACATTCGAAATTCATACTTATACTGTGGGCCGAATATGCTTTAAGGTATCTTAGTTCATTGAATATTTCCATGCTAGTCGCTAGTTAACAATTTGTTTTTGTCAGTAGAAAATAGAAACTACACAATTGTAATTTATTTTATAATTCTTTAAAGCTTATTAAAACAAAATTTTTTTTTTAAATTATAATTTTTATTTTATTTATACTACCTACCTAGTATCTCCCTATACAAATTTCTAATTTTATAAAATTTTAAAGGTCATAGGTTGGGCACGATTGGTCTATCACCCTAAACATTGATTTAGATATAAGCCACCCTCTATGGGTTATTTTAAATAAATAGCTCCCTGGAATTCTAACACTAGTTAACTAACACTAGTTGCGCCTATGGCACCCTAGATTACCATTGACAAAATGTAAATTTTTCCTTTATTTTGTTATATATTATCATACTGAATAGATATCATACTTCAATAACGGTTCTATATATTTTGTAGTTCTGTTCTAATATATGTTATTTATGTATGATATTGTGAACAACAAGCATTATCAGTACTGAGAACCTACCATTTCCCCCCTCCACTGTACTCAGACCAACAAATAGTCAGTAATGCGAGAGTTGTCGAACAGGCAAGCCGACGCTACAAATGTCACATGTATATCCTTAGTTGCAGTATTTTATGTGCAAATGTGTAATATCAATAGTGTCATTCTGACTAATAAAGTATTTGCAAGTAGTCATTATCCTTGAGTTGAATATATTAATTTCGAAAATATATACAGGCCAGAGGTGTAAAATGAAAAGAACAAAACTAAAATTTTCACATTAATATAATTATAATTACTTTATATTTAATAATTGTACAATAACTAAAAATATAATCACTTAAAGATTAATAATAATGTCATATTTCTAAGTTTGCCAATTTATGGCATGGCTTTCTTAAAAACTACTTGAAAATAAAAATTATAAATGTATTATCGGTATACAAAACAAATTAAATAACTATGGACAGTTGACACAAAATTTGTATTTTTAAATTAAAGACAAATTTATTTACCAGTACATGTACTATACATTTTTAACATTTTAAATTTTAAACAAACAATCAAGTTTAAGCTTTTATAATAAATTATTACGATATTCACTTTAAAAACATATAAAATCATACTAATCAATTTTAAATAATCATGAAAATTAAATTAATAAATCCAAATAACAGAACCAATTTATTTAAAGTAACTTAATACAATTTTTTTTTTGGAATTTGCAACATTAATTGACTAAAATTAAAATAGATCAAAAACAAAACAAAATGCATACAACTATAAACAGATATAATCAAAGGCCATAAATCTGGATATTTGGGGGGAGGTTTTAATGCTATGGCACACAAAGTTAATATAACACATCCAAATAATGATAAATTACGTAATAAATGTAATTTTGATGTTTCTTTTTGTTGTGAAAGTAATTTTTCAATATTATAGTGCAATATAAAATAAATTAACGATAAAGAAATAAAAGGGACCAACAAATTATCCCTTATCAATAGTGGAAGCATGCTAAATGTTGTCAGGGTAACAAACCAAGTACACATAAATACATTTTGAGGAGAGTACATCAAAACTGGTATGGCAACCAAAAGTACACTTTTTTCGTGAACTTGAAATGAAAATAAGAAAAATGACAACGAACAATTAATCAATGAAAGTAAAAATTTTATTTTAGAAGGATTTTTTAATAGATCCAGGCACGTGGGCATCACTGAGATGAATGTCGTCATTAGGCATATAGTAGCCATGGTATGATTATTCATATTCCTCAACTTATAAAGAACATTAATTACACACCATATATTGGAAACTTTGTCTTCGAAAACACCTCGTTCTAACGGGAAAATTCTGTGTATGACTTGAAACATTTGTTTAGGATCACTAATAAAAGGAACCCATAATAATATAAATGTTATCATCACACTCAATACAAGAATAGACAATGTCTTTAGAGCTGTAATGAATGAATGTTTTTTATAAGTTTCATAAATAAATCCAATATAATAAAAGAAAAATGGCAAAGCGTGGTATAACTCCATTTGTTTGTAGTTTAAGGCCATACTGAACAAAACGCAAGTGAAGATGGTTTTATTGGTAAACATACTAGCAACACTTGCCACAAATAAACCAAGAGACACACAGTTATACTGGAAATGTCCATGATCTATTAATATTAATCCTGGGTACAACAATGTCATTGCAATGGTCATTGTTTGACTCATTTGGTTATTATTTTTAATTTTGAAAAACTGTCTGAAAAACCAACAAACGGCTGGTATGAATATCAATAAGTCAACTATAAGCACAGAATACCTCATGAGTAGTTTATGAAACTTTGACTCAAAACCTCTAGATGTATTGAGCTGGATGGACTCTGGAAGGATTCTTTTAAGCACTAAACCATTTAAATAACTATGGTAGGCTGTCAATGGTGGATAGTCGAGACCCCAATATAATAAATCATTGTCGGATGAATTAAAATACCATTGAGTTGTTGGTATAGAAACTGTAACTTCCATCCAATGCCGTTGGGCTTCATAATCACCATACATCGGAGTTTGTGATTTTCCAGAATAATCATGTAAGCTGACAAACCAACGAAATAATACAGCAATCATTAAGATAAGTTTTTCATCAAGTACTTTTTTCAAGTATATAGGTATTAAGTTTTTGTAAATCATTGTATCACAATATAAACTCATAAATCAAAATGAGACACCTGCTTTCACGAGAAATGATGATTGTTCTGGAAAAATAAAAATGGAAATTGTAAATAATACGGCCTATTAATTAATCTAAATTAGTATATGTAAAAAAATATTTATAATATATATTTAAATAAACTTAAATTTGCTTTTAAACAAAAAAATTTGAATTATTTTCTTAAATTTTCATTTAATATAAAACTATACAGGTAATTTAGTTTTCATTTTTTATTGAAACTATAGTTTCTTGGTCTTTAATTTTTTTTTTTTCAAAAAAGCAAAATTTAATGAACAATTGAATGTAATATACTACCAACCTATATACTTTAAATCATAGTATGTAGTGATAAATCAATAAGTCAATTGCTATTAAAAAATAACACAGGGCACATGTTTTAACACATTATTTTATTAGAAAATATATTCAATGAAAGCAGTCTTTTTCAGAAAATTTTTAATTTATCAGATTTTCTTTTTGTGTTGTACAATTTAAAAAACCACTTATTATAATTGGTAAAATTTATCAAATACAAGTTTAAGTAAATAATACATTTTACAACATAAATAATTTCCAACATATTTTTATTTTACTATTTGTATTATATTTCTAAAAATGATCATTAATTATAAAAATTATGGTAATTATGTTGAAAATAAACTTAATTATTTACACTTGTTGTTTTAATTTTCTTCTTTTTAGGTTTAACTGCAATGGCTGATCGTACTTTGAAAACTGCTTCACAAGTTGTGCAAATAGGACTTATTTTGCAATAAATAGTTAAACATAATGAACACACAAAACCAATTGCTGTTAGGGTTCCATGACAAAAACAAAAAGGTCGGAAGTCTAACTGTGGAGCTAATGGTATAACTAATTTTTTCCTAGAAGAAGGTTCTGTCAAAAATATCCACTGTAAATACAGTAATAATCCCTCTAATTTTGGCATACGAAAATATGAACCTTCTGTGATGTAACATGCTTGTTTTAAAAGAGTGACATCATGTGTAAGACTACATACATCAATGGCTACATTTTGTTTTTGAGCTGTGAAAAATGTATTCATACAACGTATGTATTTGTCTCCTTCATTATCGCAACCAGATATAATTAATATTCTTGAATTCATTGTTTCGCCCGGAAATAGATTACTTTGTAATCTGTTTATGTAGCATAAAGCCTTAGCACAAGATGCTCCAAAGACGGTATCTCTAGACATATGTGGTTCTTCTGCCGCATCCTTGAGAAATTTCACAATGTTAAATTTGATAGAACGATCTATGTGACTGAACAATTCATACTGACTTCCACCCATTTTACAACTACTGACTGTTTTCTTTTTAAAATCAAGTTCATCTTGATCGGAATATATAAAATCACAACTATTTGGGTCAGACGCAAGTACAGCAACTTTATTATGGGTTCGAAGCATTAAGTGAGAATTAGCAAAAGCAACAACAGAACTAAGTATGGATGATAGCTTTATTTCGCCACTAAGTAAAGTATCTTGAGCTGGGTTAACATCAAGGATTATTACCAGAAGACTGGAAAATATTTTCTTTGGCGTTTCTGATTGCATTCCGCTAGCATTCAATATTGATCAAGATTCAAAATGTAATAATTCACTAGTTAAATCACATACAAAATATATAAAATATTTTGAATTTTAGGTAATTATATTAAAACAATACTTATCAAATACAAAATAACATAGAAAACTAAACCCACAATAAATTATTCGAGCGGAAAACCGTAATTCAAAACAGTGAATTAATAAAATATTATATTATTATTTGTTTAGTTTTAACTTTTAGTATTCGTGTTCAACAATAATCAAATAGTAAAATAATAAATAATAAATACTATTAAATACTATACTATAAATTATAAAACTATAAAATATCAACACTTTAATAAAATTATCTAAATGCCGATGCTTTATCTGTTACCGAACAACGAACTGCCGCAGCCAATTAGAGACTAGAGTAATAAGTAATAAGTAATAACTAAAAAGCAGTATAAAACCAGAACCATGGTATATTATTCTGATATAATATTATACCACGAGATGATACCACTATTCCGGCATTCCGAAATTTATTGCGCTGATAAATGATAATAATTCCAATATCAAAATATCAAATTTCAAATATAGAATTTATTTTCATGGATGCCCAATCCCCTATATTGTATATTGTATAATATAATATTATACTGTATATTTAAACAATTTGATATTACAAACAATATGGCATAATTTATGTATTTACATCACGAATTAAGATATAATTATATGATTATGTATCTAATATAAATAAATATAACGAATGACGCCATGACGGGTCGATAAAAATTGAAAATTCAGAAGTTACAAAAATTAAAGAAACTGAACATATTTACATATCCTAAGATTTATACATAGTATACGGTGATTACTATTTACTGCAAATACAAGACACAAAAGAAAGCGGACTTAACTCGATACTCAAAAAGTATAAATGTTTAGAAATTATCTTTTTTTTTACAAAATTTGAAGTGATAACGAAATGATATTTGGAAGAAACCTGAATATTTTTGAAAATTGTTGAACCATAAGTTAATTAGCTATTTAGCTATCAATATTTAATTATTACAAAAGAAGGTTAATTTACAATTTGTATTTATAGTAATACAATAAGCAAATTAGATATGATGAAAACAAAAATAAATAGGATTATGCAATTATAACTTATAAGTATTTAAAATTAACTTGAAAGGTACTTTGACTTAACCTGGTCTCTTCATCTCAAACACAAACAAAGTAACCAAGTTCCAGACTTCATCTGCTAAGGCCACTCCTTCACTCTAACCTAACCACCCATCAAAATCATTCTTTATAAATCTCTTTTCAACTACTATTCGTATTTATATGGAGTATGGCATCGTAATCTGGTGCTCTGTTAAGACTTTAAATAAAATATTAAATAACTATACAATCTTTTCAGAACATTTTTCTGCGCTAAATCAATGGCGCACCCGGGTTTATCTCAAATGACCCCTTAAATCACTCTCAATCAACAAAACTCCTGCTGTCTATTACAAATGTTTCCACGTCAAACTGGTAGATAATCCCACCCAATTGACCAACGAGTTAGCATCAAACATTTTACTGCCCCACCATGTAGTTGCTTGATACTTCATAAAAATATTACAGCCCCAGTTTGAAATAAATATGCATTATGTTTTATAAAAAGTCCAAAATTGTATAATGAAACAAACTCCTTTAAAAATGTTTGATATACCACTACTTAATAGAATCAGATATATTAGAATAAAAATATAAAATTATGAATTTGTATTTGTCAAGTCTGCGAATAAATTGTATAAGATTTTATTATATCTTATGAAATAAATATGTAGTGATTGTTCACTTGAATTAAACTGTAAGCTATAAGTAAAAAATTGTTAATATACTACCTATAAACAGGATGCAACCAATTTAAAGAATTATAGGTTAGCAAATAGAATTGGAAACCCAAATGTGACAATTATCTGAAGATCAGTTGTATGACCATCAAAAATGAAGAATATATCTTATTCAAGTATTATTTTATTTGGCATAATTCTAGTTTAGCGCCCACTCGAATTTTTCGATTTATCATAATAATCATTTCCGCAAACTAATTTTTACACCATCGTTTTAAACTCGTCGAAATACATAGGTTTCCGAAAAAAAAATCGAAAAATTCAAGTGGGCGCTAAACTAGAATTGTTCCTTTTATTTACCTAATTAGTTATATTAAATACAAAATTATGTTCTAAGAGTAAAACATTTAAAGTATGAATATTATCCACAGGCAAGTAAATAGGGGAGGGGGACTTCGAAGGTTCAACCCCCCCCCTAAAACTACTATGAACCGTTTGTGTACGTGCCTGATTATACATAAATAGGTACATAATATTATTACGTATTATTCACAAAATGTATTTATTTAATTTTATCGTTTTTATTAAGCACAAGTTACATTAATTATAAAGGTTACAAAGAATTTGATACAAAGCTTAAGGAACTTTTCTGCTTTGCCAGACACCCATTTTTTTCAATTTTTTTTCTGTTTTCACATAATATCTAGTTTGAGCATGCTGAAAACGATTGTAAGGTCAGAAATTAAAGGCTGGACTTAGTTTTAAAGATATAGCTAATTTAGATGCATAGTATTTTCATATACACCCGGCGTAGTCACTCACTAATTATTTAAAACCGAAAACATCTCTCGACTTGTTATGTAAAACCACATGTGGATCTTGGTCTTCAAATAGCTGTAACTTCAAAATTAAGTCAGACCTGAAGGTCAATTCTGAATTAACCATCGTTTTCTGCAATGCGGAACTACATACGTTTTTTTTTCTATTTAGATACTTAGTTTTATTAAAAGAATAATTACAAGCTATACATAATTTGGCACAATAAATGATTTTGTTGAGTGAAATAGCGGTGAATATAACAGAGTGGGAAGGTACTCAGTAGTACCACCCGACAGGTCAAGCCAGCAAGTATTCAGGCCAAGACCATTTCAATCTTCTTTGAGGATTGTCAGGGATTGCATGGGAAGACAGTCTTTTTATTAATGGGTTAGTTTTGAGTGAAATAAGAGGAAGTGGGATTTAGTCAGATGTGAAAGTGTAGGTACTTTTAGGTCGTTGTGAAGATTGGTGTTTTTTATGTAACATGGGGCAGATACGATTTGACGGAGGCATATGGACTGGAAGGATTGTATAGATACACAGGTTTGAGGGTTTAGCTAAGCCCCATATCTGGATGTTGTATGCCCACACTGGTAGTATAATAGCTTTATTAATTAACAGTTACTACATACATTAAAACAAAAAAATTGCAAAAAAGGGTGTCGAAAAATGTCCTTTTAACCGTTTGTTAATAATAGTTAAAATAACATAGAGAAACTGACATAGGCGTGCGCACAGGGGGTGCCGGGAGTGCCTGGGCACCCCCGGACCATTCACCAGAAACGAAAAGGGCCCTAATTATTAATTAATTGTAAATTAAATTAATGAAATTATTGACGAATTCAAAAATGTTGCTCCTTTTAAACGTCGATTATCATTATAAGATTACAGTATATCTAGGTATATATTGTTATGTAATATTTAAATTAGAATGAATAATAAAATAAAATAAATATTTTTAGTGCATTTGATATCTTTAAAACATTTGTCTGTACTTATAATTTTTTTCAAAATTATTGTGGGCCCTAATTTTTAGTATGCACCCCCGAAATCGAAAATCTGCGCACGCCTATGGAAACTGATAAACTATAAACAAAATATATTCTAAAACCAGTATTTGTTTTTTTTCAAATAAGTTATAGCTTCAACCATTTTTAATCAATTCTAAGTATGAAATAATTAAGGAAAGATTATTATAGTAAAGTGTACAAATTATAAGACATAGGTAGATTTATTAAAAATATTGTTTAAAAATGATTAACTGCCGAGTAAAACTGTACACGGGAATAAATAAAATAAACCGCCTTAATACTAAATAGTGTATTATATTGAACTTACCACATATGATGCGTCAAGTGCAACTGTTAATTTAGATTTTAATAAATCTTCATTAATGGTCATTACAGCAAGTAATTCAAAATATAATTTAATTAAAAATAGTGTAGCGTAAGATATTGAATGATCTAGTTTAACACAACATTCGAACCTTACACAGTACTCGAATAGTTAAACTCAACACTCAACTACAGTATAATAGTATAAACAAAATAAACTATAAAATACAATTTGGTTTTTCTGTGTAGAATAAATCGTTCAATAACTTACACTGATAATTTAATGTACCTGCATACATTTGGAATACAACTTACTGATTAGTGATTACTGATTACAGGCAACGTACGGCCAACGGTGCTGCAGAGCATAGATAATAAATAGATAATAAATATTGTATTGTTTTGTATTATCTAAACTCATAGAGTATACTCTATGTCTAAACTGCAGTTTAGATCCGTTGTGTTGATTGGTGGACATTGATAGTGTGAAGACAGACCGAACTATAGAGCCTATTTAAGAATACATAATTTATATGGAGTGATTCAAAATGTATGTTACAATAATAGGTTTAGTAATATAGTAATATAGTATATTATTGTAACATACATTTTGAATCACTCTGTATAGACTCTCTAGACTGAACTAACCACTAACCAGGCTACCATAGTAATATATAGTTCTGAACATTATGGTGTTACCAACACTTTGATACCTACATGGCTACATATTAAATATGCTGAAAGTTATTGACCACGATGTAGAGAAGATGTGCATATTATGTGTACAATACTATAATATACTACATTTCAAAAATACTTTTATTTAAATTATAATAATAAAATTATACAATCCGTTAACATCGTTATTTTTTACCATAGAAGATAATAGAAGAATCTTCTATTATCTATGTTTTATACAATTTGACTTTTCATTTTTATTTATTTGTTCACAGCAAGTATGAGCCCGATACTATGGGATACACGTCTATAGATAATATATTATAGATAATTTTATATTATCTATGGATACACCACACATATTATATTGTATTTTCTTGAATGATCGTTTTATACCGATATATGTATCGACGTATCGTTCTACTCTAATTTGCTTCTTAAGAATCATGACAAAATCTTTTTTGTCATGTTAAGAATAACATATTTATAAAATATACACTTATGCACATGTATAAATGCGTAATCGTGCAAGCTATACAATTTGACTCATGGTTCAAAACAAAGAAAATATTTTCCAAAAAACATGAATACCTAATATTTATACAAGCCGGGTTAAAGTAGCAACACTAGCAACCCTACTACCCTAGCGTACGCAGCGCAGCCCGTGGCTGTTTAATCGTGAGACGCATTTCGGGACGTTTGAATGAAACGGTGTTTGGTCTCCTTATTCAAGTCTTCATGATTCTAAATTTCTATCATAGAAAAAAATTCTATTGATATTGCCGACCAATAAAATGCGGAGAAGAGAACTACGAGCCATGACTAATCATAGATAATTATTTATAAATAATAAATATGCTCACGATTAAAGCTAACATCATAGAACAGTATACAGGCTGCACATCGACTACTGATAAGGTAAAATACGAAATGACTACCAATTATTCGTGGTTGACATCAAGCGCCACTAGTTAATTATTAACAGCTGTTTTATGTAGTCACTTTGTAAATCAATCTGAAAGCCGTTTATTAATTATTATAGGGCGTCTATTAGGGCGATGTGCAAGCTGTATAATATCTTTAATCGTGGTCATGCCACGAGCAATAGTTTTGTGAGTAGAATAGTGGGGAAATGCGCAAACCGGACGAAAACTTGATTTTTGTAATCATACCTATTTATTCGAATATTTCATGAAACATTTTATGTTTTTATCACGATTTAAGATATATTACTATCTTAAATCGTGGTTTTTATCAATTTATCATTATTGTTAATAGTTATTTAAAATTTAAATTCTAAATATTAAATTTAAATGTTCATCTTTATTTTAGTTCAAACTGTTCAAAGTTGTAACTTGTAATTACTATGTTATAAATTAATTTAAATACTAGATTCGCATTTAGCATTTAAAAAACATATTTCATGTTTTTTTCTTTCTAAAAATAATTACAATTATGAAAATATACCATTCAATTATGAATTATTCAAAAATTTTTTCTCATGGGAAATTATTCAAACAAAATTCAAATTTTAAAATCAAAAATCAAATGTCTAAAATTAGTTCGATCGACCATGAAAGAACGACGTCAGGAGATTTTTTCGTTTCAAAATTACTAGACAGTTTTAAAGTACCGTACAAAAATCAATTTACTTGCTTATTGGTGAGATGTGGTTTTTGTAATAACACATCTTTATACATTAATAAAATTACTGGTAAATAGTTTTATAACAAATTTTAAACAAATAAATGTTAACATAGTTGTACTTATTGAATATAATATTTATACTTATTAATATAATATTTAAATGTTTTAGGTTGGTTTATTTGTTCACATTGTTTGAGATATGGTGATTGGTCAATATTTAAGTCCCATGTAAATAAGAATAATGAAAGAATTTGTGTACCCACTCCTAAGGTTTTTGAAGCTGGTAAAGATTTTAAGAATAAGGCTGATAATTTAATGCATTTCAAATCATTAAAAACTAGTAGTAAAAAGAGTATTTTAAAATCTCTTAATATGGAGGTAATAGTTATACACTATTTTAGTACTTAATACATATATAACATGAATTCAAACTTTAATAACTAATATTTTAAATGATAATATTTCAATTTTAAATAAGATTAAGTTCTGTAGGAAATCCTCAAGGTAATTCAGTATTCAATATATAACATGAATCATGATATATCTATGAAAGACCATTGCAGTTTGTTAATTTGTTGATTTTTTTCTAATATCAAAATTACCTTTCAATTTATTAACAGTGGATTTATAAGTTATTACTTAAGTTTATAAATAATTCTTTGATCTATTTTGATATGTGGGTTACAGAAAAATCAGAATGTTGTAACTCAAAACTAATCAATCAATTATGATTTATAAATAGATAGTAATTTAAATTGTTGATTCACAAAGTTATACTTGTCATAATAATTATGAATATATGATTAATTTTTATTGGCCTAATTTAAAATGTCAAAATAAATATAATTACCCTTATTAAATTGACATATAATGAAATAACACAATTCTTTATGAGTGTTATTTATATTATTATTATCTTTATTACTACCTATTTATTTTATAGCTCAGTTTTTTTGGTCCTTTTCATTCATTATTTCTAATTTTTGAGTAAGATAAATGTATTAAAGATTAATATTTATTGGGAATTTAAGTATTTGGTGAGTTACCTTAAGTCAAAATAAATAAAATTAAAAATATTCTTGTGACAATATATCATATATTATGATGGGGTTAATTTAAATTGATATTTTAGAAGTTCAATTAATTATTTCCATTAAGTATTTAGGTATATCGTATATATGTACACTAGTACACTTTAAAGCTACAATAAATTAGCTCTTTTGTAATTTTTATCATTATTTGTGTTTAAAACATTATAAGAATGATTGTGTGTATTTTACAGGAATTAAAAATACAAGACCTTGATCGTATTCCAGGTTTATACGTTAATTCAGAAAATAGTTCCTTGTACTTGACTATGATGCTTAATAATAAAACAGTTGTTGGATACAAAGAAATTAAATTGGAAAATAGTCTTAATCAAAAAACTGTACCAGATGATTGTTGCTGGGGAATTGCTCAAGTTCCTCCATTGACTTCAAATCATAGTCAAAGTGCAATTATTGTTGATGACTTTAAACATTTATTAGTATTAGTCGGCCATCAATCGTCTCATCATATCATTTGCTTACCTCATGGTATTTATATTATTCTACATTATGTCAATTAGGTAATGAATGTCTTACCAAGTATAATATACTTATGAACTAAGATCAGTGTTGTTTTAACATTGCTTAATTAAATAGAACTTATTTTAAAATTATTCAACAATGTTTATTTGATTGTATTTTATGTTATAAATTGGTTTATTTTTATAACTAATTATAATTATTCCAATCCAATCCATAAAAATGTTATATTTAAACTATTTGATGCAAAGTATCTAAATAAATGTTGATGCAGTGGCGCCCAAGACATATTTTTCAGGTGCTTACAAATGTTCACAAACTCAAAATTATATTATTTTATACATTTTATCATATTTTTATTGATAATATTATTAAATATTAAGGAAGAACCAGTGTAATCTGTGATTAATAATGAACATATTTCAAGTTGATTATTTTATGTTATACCCACCCACCCCTTATTTCAAGGTGTAGCGACCGCTACACCTAGTTATAGGGTTTGGCGCCACTGTGTTGATGGATCAATTTACAATCACTAAAATTCAATTTCCTAATAGTTTAATATGTTCGGATTATACTTTTACAAGTACATTTTAATTATATTTGTATACTGAAAAGCAATTTTAAAAAACAATGATATTCTTAAAACTAATTTGTTTTAATAATTTTATATTTGTAAGGTGTGCGGAAATTACCACAAGAATTACTGCCATCATTGGAGTATTTCAACAGATTAATCTTATGGTTTGGAAATGATCAAATTGCATGGAACTCGGCAAGAACGTTCGCTAAGAAATTAATAGAAAATAGATGTTATTTTATAAGACCTACTGATGATCAACCATCCCCTTATTTAGCATTTAAACTTGGTTTAAATATTGACAAAATACTTAAAACTGCTGATAAAATGGTTCATCCTAGTATTATTCAATTCTCAACAATACGTAATGAAGTTTATGCAGAGTTACAAAATCATGATAAGGTAAAGCATAAATAAAAATATGAATAGCACTATAGCAGTGTTGTAAAGTATTTGAGTAAAAGTATTCAAATACTTTTTTCCGTATTGAATACTTTTTTAAATACTTTTTTAATATTGAATACTATTTTATTGAATAGTATTTTCTTCTTTTAATTCTTAATTTGTTTCTACTTATAATTATTCTTGTTAAATAAAAATGTCATGCCGTCGTGGTTTTGCTTTAACATTATAACAATATAATATTATACATTTATCATTTATGCCTTACAGACAATTTGGTATCGGTTTTTGTCGATTAAATGTTTTTGTTCTACAGGAGACAGTTTATTGTCGACAAAGATTGAAAAGATACATCTGTAGTCGGTATCACTATTAGCTTAAGTCAATAACAAAATATATATGTAAAAAGCTTCTGTTTAACGGCTATTATACTTTATAGTTTATACTTTATAATTATTTAACTATACGAAAATATTATTACTAATTATTAGTACCTTTTACCTATTTACCAAGAAAATTGTTATCAATAATTATCATTATCATTTATCGTCGACGACGATCGATGACGGGATGAGATATGGATATCCAAATACATATAGCTTTAAATTAATATATAACTGTAGAGAAAATTTCATTGATGTGGTGCAACTAACAAGACTGATCAGAATTTTGGTTATTGAACGAATCATGTTTTTAAAATGCTCTGAACAAATTTTTGAATATAACAAATTAACAAATTATTTCAGAACTAAAAAGTAAAAAGAATTTTTTTTTGTATTTGAAGATGATTTCAAGCACTTCATAGTGTTTGGGTGGTACCTATTTTAAATACTTTATTTTAAGAATATTTGAGTAATTACTTAAATACTTTTAAAAAGTATTTTTTACAACACCAATGAATAGTAATAATTAACAGTTAAAAAATTAAAGAACTTTGTTTAGACCCTTGGAATGAAATGGACAAAATTTCCGGCATTAAATAAAATTATTGGAGGCCATCGTCGTGGAGAACTTACTTTATTAACTGGACCAACGGGATCAGGAAAAACAACTTTTATAAGTGAATATTCGTTAGATTTAGCTGAACAAGGTGTAAGTAATTCAAATAGTCTCAATTAGATACTGAAAAACTTTATTTAATTATACATTTTTTTTAAATATATTTTTGTTTATAGTAGATATTATAATATAATAAAATTGTGATAAGAACTTTAGATAGTTTTTAGATATACACTTGTATATCCAGAAGTAATGCACAAGTTGTCCAACGATAGTTTCTTGTATATTTTCCTCCAGTTTTTCTTTTAACTTTATATTTAGCATTACTTATGGTCTGCATGGAGTTTTAATTTAAATTTAAGGTTTATGATTTAAAAAGTATTTATTTATTGGAAACAGTATAGTTTAAATTTAATGAATTAAATTTTAACATAATTTATTATGACTTGAAGGTAAACAAAACTAGACTCATTGGATGACTCGGAAGTACCTTTCATCCATAGGTACTTACTTAAAATGAAAACGTGTTGGATGATAATTATTAATTTATTGTATCTCTTGACTCTTTTATAAAATTCAATTTCTAACCTAAACACATACAGCATATTTTTAAAATAATATAAATGTTATTCTTTATGTATTGTGTATGTATAGTTGCCAACATTATGGGGAAGTTTTGAAATACGTAATCAACGTTTAGCAAAAATCATGCTTCAACAATTTGCTAAGGAACCTGTGCATCTTAATTTAGACTTATTTGACAACTTAGCAGATCAATTTGAAAAGCTTCCACTGTACTTTTTGACTTTTCATGGCCCCCAACCACTAAACATGGTGATGGACGTAAGTTTAATTTATTAAGTCAATTTATACGAATCAAAGCTTATTTTTCTGTTTATTGATTTAAGTATTGAATATTATACCAAATAAATATACAACTTTTTGATAAAATATGCAAGAGTAATTTAGATAAAGAAATTAGAAGACTAAATAGGTACATTCGTACATTTAAAATATCAATATTTAAACTAATTTATGATATAATAGTATAATTGGCTTAAACGCTAATTAGTAATATACTAATGTACATGAAGTAGGTAGGTATCATAATTTATTTAACTTTTTGTCATATTATGTATTTTTCAAAACTTTTTAACATTATAAATTTGTTTAAAAATGTCCTAGTTTATTACAATGTATATAAGCATATTATTATACATTTAAACTAACACTTTGTTATTATTAGGCTGTTGTCAATGCTGTTTATGTTTATGATATTGGTCATGTAATCATTGATAATGTACAGTTTATGATGGGCATTGGTGCCAAGTATGATATGGGTTCAGAACGATTTTGGCAACAAGATTCAATTATAGCAGAGTTTAGGAGGTTTGCTACATATTCAAACTGTCATGTGACATTAGTAATGCATCCTAGGAAAGAAAAAGATGTTGAACAGCTGTCCATCAATTCTATTTTTGGTACAGCTAAAGCTACTCAAGAAGCTGATAATATTCTTATAATACAAAATAAAATAATGGAATCTTTACAAATTAAAAAATATTTACAGGTATAACAATATTACTGTTTCAGTTAAGAGTTTATAATATAATTTACGTAAATAATAAAAAAAAATTTCAGGTTTCCAAAAATCGATATAGTGGTAATCTTGGAGTTATGTCTTTAGAATTCAATAAACAAAGTTTAAGTTTTTCACAAGAGAAGACCTAATAATACAATATTTATAATATTTATCAATTTATTGTTTTGTGTAATACTTATAAAAATATAAATAAATATTTTTGCAAAAAATGTTTAATTAATTGTATTCTATTATGCACAATGCACTATGCACATTATCTCTGGGTCAATTACTGTGGTTGGACTGTTGGAGCATGCCTCTCATCTATACTCATTGTCCAGTAATTATTGCCAATTGACAATAGCAAAAAAATGGGCTGAATACTTTAGTGATTTGTTAAATTGTCTAGAACACGGTTATCTACTCAGGTTGCGAAACGAGGCGTGATAACGCGTCTCAAAACGGTGTATTGGTGAACTATAGCGCTAGTAGTACTTGGCCCGTCTACTGAGCACCGATCACGAATTTTACCACGTACAATATACGTAAAATATTGATCAACGTCATTATAATTTATATTTTTATTACTTACTGTAACTTGTTACTTGTAAGTTGATTTTCATAAATTTATTTTAGTGTCTATTGAACTTGAACTATATACTTACCTTTTGGTAGAGTGGTTTTCAGTAATATAATTAATTATATAGGTATTTTAGGTATTGAGTAGGTACCCAAAAATTAATTTGAATAAAAACTAATACAATTGTAATTTCTTAAAATACGAAAACATTTTTTTTTTATTACAGTTTTATTGATCAAACCAAACTTGAACCAATTGTCTTTATAGTTTATATAAAACTAATTTAGAACCATAAATGAATAAAACCATCATAAAAATTTTAAAATCTTGTATAATATTATACAAGGTGGAACAGAAAGACCTGACAATTAAATAGGTAACTTTTGTTCTAATCAATATTTTTAATTATTAAGTAACTCATTAATTTTAAAAGTAAATACATTTTAAGTGATAAATTAGATTTTAACATGTACTTACTCAAAATTCTTATAAAATATTTTTAAAAAGTATATACTAATCCTTATATACAAATTGTCTAATTATACCTGATTTACAAATTGGATATTTTGATTTTTTCAAAAAAATTGTACATCAGATTTAACATTTATTTTTTTCAGTTATATACTAATCATTATATACAAATTGATTAATTATACCTGATTTACAAATTGGATATTTTGATTTTTTCAAAAAAATTGTACCTACATCAGATTTAACATTTATATTTTTCAGTTTTAAAAAAAAAAAAAAAAAAAAAAAATGCTATATTATATAATAATAGTCAATTAATTATACATTATTACAAAAAAAATATTGAGTATAACAAAAGTTATTTTATTTGTCAGGTTTTCCTGTTACACCCTGTATGTAGGATGTAGGTGCTAAAAGCTTATTGAGATATAACAATAAATATAAAATAAGTGTTAGATTCTTTGGGTATCCAACAGAAATTCCTTTAACCTGTAACAAAATATCAATAATTCATTGAAATGAATAATAATATTATAGCTATAAAAGCATCAAGCAAACAGCAAAAGCAATAAAAACCCTGTTTTAAATGTTTATTTGAAATAAAATATTATGTATTACATAATTTAGACTGTTTTTTCTTTTCCCTGGATAACTTTTTACACTTGAGATTTTCTTGGTAGCTATACTGTCTCATTCTCATTTGAACATAATATACAATTAGTTCGGTAGTAACTTCTACTAAGTGTATGCTACATGAGAATTTAAAATTAATATTCTTCGTTATGTCACTTATAACTTTCTCAAATACATCTAAATCGCCACAATATTTAGCAAAAGAATGTTCAACAGATTTCAAAAAATCAAACAAATATCCATTAGGATGAACTAATAAACCTCTAGATTTGGCAACAACGAGTTCTCCTGCAGAGTGTGTAACAACACCGTTATTTAAAAACGCAATGCATTTGCTACATTTTTTGTGTTTAAGTATTTTCTTGGTTACATACCCACAAACATAATAAACTATGCAATCCTGTACACTAGATTCACCATCTGAATCAATAATAGGAAGAACATCACATGCTTCCCATTCATTGTTTTCCACAAGACTATCTAGTTTTGTTTTTAATTTTTCAATTTTTTCCCATCTTTCTGAGGGCTTTTCATGAAATATATCTCGAATGTCTGCTAAAGATATTTTTTGTGAATCAGAATTTACAACTGTACAATTTCCATACTTTGGTGGTTTTAGCACCGAATATACAGAAAGAATTTTGTACAAATGTAAGAAGGTGGGTGTAGTGGGATGATCGTTTGGACCAGCCGCCTGTCTAATAATACCAAAAAATTTCTAAAAAAAAAAAACAAAAATTAAATAAATTGTAGAATTAAACAGGAGTTACCTTACTTCTAACGGATCCTGGCACATTTTCCCCGTAAGAACATATTCGAAACCACATTTTTCCAATAAATACATCGAAAGGTCTATTGTAGAATGTAATGTTACTCGGAGACTCTGTGCAGTTTGAGGTGTTAAAAACTCTTCTGGTGTTATGTGATGAGCAATTACTTCATTTTCCCAAGAATTTAAGTAATTAATGGCATCATAGAACTTCTAAAATATAAACAATAAATCCGGATTAACAATAAAAATAATATTTTAACAATTTTGTATCTACTTCAAATCCTTCATCACCAATCCTAAGTCCTTGCCAAGGTAGAATTCTGTTAAAATTGTCAAATAAATTATTCCAATATTCTACAAAGTTTGCAGTTTCTGAAGCTCCTTTAAGCATCAAACAACCTTTTTTCATATAAAATCTTAATGCCTGTGCCATACTCATACTGAAAACCTGATTAAGTACAAAATTACTGTATTTTACATTAGAAAAAAATAATAACAATCATTATTAATTAAAGTATTTAACAAATGAAATTCAAGTTTAGTATGAAATAATAAGTCCCTTAATAAAAAAACTTAAAATATGTGGTCTGCAAACCACAGTTTAGATGTAGTTGTATTAACCTGAAAAAAAATTAATAAAACATATCTCACTTGTGTACAAAGGCGTACTCTCATTTTTGACATAGAGGAGAGTTGAAGATGTTGGGGTGTTATCCTTGGTATCAATCTCAAATTTGCAGGATGTAGAATATCATTTTTGTATACTTCTTTAAAATAACTCCATGATACACTGTCACTGTCATGATGAAGCTATAACCAAACATTTCATACACACGATTAATAAATAATATACACACAAAAAAAAATTTAAATCCTTACTCTTAAAGATGTATTGTTGTAAAGACGATTACGCACACATTTAAAAACATGTACAAAATCTGAAAATGCATAAATCTTTCGATTTTCGTCCAATGGATGCTCAAAATAATGTTTTAATTTATCTTGAGTTCCATTAACTCCTAGTTCTTTCCACATTTTTTTATTAGTAGTGGCTCCATCACATATAATACCATCAACTAAAATGCCATTTTTTTCTAATAATGTTATTGCTTTCAAGACTAGTTGAGCCAAAGTAGTACCTTAAAATATTTCAAAAAAATTAAAAATACAAAATGATTATTAAATTATTTTATTTTTACCTTTTACTTCGCCTTTAGTAGCAAATACTCCTACAGTTTGAGAGAAATTTGAGGCCAATGATTGCCACATAAATACAAGCGCGTGATTTGCATATTCTTTATGACTTTTTGATATATCTGCATCACCATAATCTTCGAGTCCAATGTACGATAAATTAGATGTATTTACTTGTAAAGATTGGCGTAAATTAACTTCATCAAATATAAGAACGCCGTGTTTTTCTACAGAAGACATATGCTGTACTTTCTTTCCCAAAAGAGTTAAAAATTCACTATCAAAACCACATGTGGTTTTTAAAGAGGAAAGTAATTGACGTACTGTTTTCATATGGGGTAAAGGTAACAATTGACTCTCTCTCAAATATTTATAAGCACCAGGGGAACGAATACTAAATAAAAGGCATAACAATAACCAGTTTTCGCTATATCTTCGATTTCTGCTATTTTTTATTTTACTAGCTGCAAAACACTCTCTGATAAGAGTTTTTTGAGATTCATTCATCCCTTCTATTTTTGTTAGTTCTTTTTCAATCAATTTATCAGAATATTTTGCCATACCATTTTTAACTTCATGTAATTCTAATCTTAAATTTTCAAGCTTTTTATTAGCCCTTAAAACTTTTTTTTTTAAGCATATTTTGTCTCTTTGCAATTTATTTAAGCGTTGTCTTTTGGTAGGACATAAAAATATGCGTTCTTGTGCACCATTTTCTTTTCTTTTTTTCCACATTGCTAATGATTTACATAGTTTTTGACATTTAATACAATATTTTAAATTTTTTTCAATTATGAGGCAGCAATCAATGTGTCGTAGCCTTCCAGTACAATCAGCAACACATAATGCTGTGGAATGTTTTTGAAAATTTTCTACAAGTGGCCCACCGTGACATACATTGATTTTTTCAAAATCTTGTAGATTTTTTACAAATTCTTCAACATTTTTTGCTGGAATGATGTTAAGTTTTTGTTCTTCAATTTTTTTTCCAAACACACCAAATGTTATTGTACCGTCAATTTTCACACTTACACATTTTTCAATAATTGAAAAGGAAACTCCTGAACAAAATGAAGAAAAACAATGACTTGTTTCAGCATTAAATCCTTTGCAAATTCCTGAAGTCTCAGGCCAAGGAATATAAGATGTTAGAGTACCACTTGTAGCTAAAGAATGGATTTGATCATATAAATTATTAGTTGAAATATGTGATGTACTTTCATTTAAATCACAATTCAGCTGTTGACAGTCTTCAGTATTATTTTGAATTTTTAGTTTTTTCTCACTATTAGAAGCATTCTGGCGTACAGTAGGAGGTTTTCTTTTTTTTATTTCTTTTGATAGATATTTTGGTCCAGGGAATATTGAAGGAACTGCATTTTTTACCAACTTAGGTATTTTATACGGAATCTAAAATTAAAATGATTATTACTTCTTCAAGAAAATAATATACTCAACTAAACAATATAGTTTTCAGATTTAGATATGTAGTTTGTTAA